TGGTTTCCATTTTTTTAATTAAGAAAAATCTTTACAAAAACAATTAATCGTTACAAAAATGTGCTACATGGCTATTTAATTTCTAAAAACTTCATCTTTGTGAGTTTACTCTTGAGGCTAAGTGCCATGTCGAGTGCTCTTCACCCGAAATTCAAGCAAGCTACGTTGAAATTCCATGCCGAGAACTCACACAGCTTTTTTATTCTACATGCAAAATATCGACGTGTTTAGTTTAACACGATAAGTAATTTGTTAGGTATTGTTATATACGCGCGAGCATAAATATATGATTACTTGAACGATTTATTTATAGACGAAATATGAAAAATGAAATCTTAAGCAACATACTAAATTTGCATGATATACCTATGTAATTTTAAAACAAAATTTCTTTGTTCAGCTATGAAAGCGGTGGTATGGTAGTGGTGATGTAACGTGTTTGAAGGTGTAGTAAAAATATTACATGTTCTTATATAAATTTATGTAACCAAGCTTAGTTTTGAAAATATCTTGTTCTTAACGCACACACCCTGAGGATTCATGACAACATCCTGTAACTGGATAAAGAGATGAAATGATTATTACAGGATTATTAGGAATAAATTTGTTAAAAGCGGTTCATTTCACGTTTCAATGTTTATTTACTCTGTGTGCTTATCTTAAGCGATTTAATATTACGAGTTCAAAATGTACGCTTTTTTAAAGATTTTTAATGAAAATGGAGGATAATAGTGTTCCTTGTGATGAAGTGTGTTAAAGTGATAATCGGAGAGGAAATCTTTAAACTTTGTTGAGATAATACACAAGGTTAGGAGTGTATTTTTTATCTTATCAATTAACGCAATTCAAACCGTTATTAGTACAATTAAAACGTTCACCAATATTTTACGTGAACGTAATTAAATCTTTCCATAAGAAAGCGAGACGATTCCACTTATCTTATCTTATCTCTTATCCATTAGAATGTAAATAATTTGTTTTTTTTTTAATTTTGTACATAGTATGTTTGTACTTTGTTCATGTTTTACTTTTGTTAATGTATTGTATTGGATGTAAATATTTTTTTCTTTCGCTTAAACAAACCCAAACGGTTTTCTTCAAAGCCACCGAAGCTATGCAATTGCTGATATGTAATACAATCTATCTAGCAGTGGTATGCCTTCTGTGTGCTTTGTTAAACACGTCCTTGACAGCACTGAATATGAAACTGAAGCGTGGAGACAGATCAAGATTGGTGTATTTTTATAAAAGTGCTAAAAACAACAATCTATATTTTTATCAATTTATATCTTGGGCTTACCCTAGCTTGGAGCTCTAGCTTCGCCACTGTTGAGAGGTACACTGAAATTTAACGCTAAGTTGAGAAGATCACGTCTAATGAAATCAACGCTCCTTCTCCTTTATGCTCTTAAACAAAGCTTCACAAACTTTTGAATCGTCAATCGACGTATTCGACTCGGTTGTGCAGCGTTGTTACAATTTTCACAAAATTTCAAGGTTACAAAACAAACATTTTAGGTCCAATTCAAGAAATATAATTTAAATATTTATATGTTATTTATCTTTATTTTTTTCAATATAGGCATCCAGTATTTTTATTTTATTTTATTGATGAGTTTGGATTACTTCAAGCAAGAAATAGATATAGAAGAAATAGAAATGGAATTTTTTTATTCAATAAAGATTATAATTATATAAAACTAATTAAAAGTCATTATTGTGTTAAATTTACCACTGTTTCAGAAAATACCTTTATCTTGGATTGAACCACCAAGAAATCAGGAGAACTATGTTACAAACTACCTGTAGAGTTAGGGCGTGTAGAGTTAAAAGCTTGGCTCTACATGAGATCTGATAGTTTTTTGACAGTGCGAGCCATATGGTCTCGTCTTAGTAACATTTTACATGAATATGCTTTTGGTGGGAGGGATTTCACTTCCTTTTGTAAGTTACTTATGACAATATTTTCTAATATATTCATTTTTTCTTTCTTGTTTCGGGTGTATGTCTTGTACATCAGATGTGCCATTTTTCATCGACCTCTCTCTATCTTGGTCTTTTTTCTTTGTTGATATATACTGTTTATAATAAGCGATAGATCAAGGCGATAATTGGCTCTTAGGCGATTATATTCGAATACAGCTGACTGTTGTACTTCAATACTCATTCTCTCTCTCTCTCTCTGCGGTCCCTCATGACTGAAGATCGTGACCACTATTACGGAGAGTAAGCTTATTATTTATGATCTGTCTCCACCGAGTCCCATCACTGGCCACCAAAGTCTTTGACTTAGTCAGACCACCGGGTTGGAGATCTACATCTGGGCCTTCTTCCCTCTACGTTTCCAACAACTATCAATTTCTCAATACTTTCGTCTCCGCGGCGAGAGGTATGACCAAAATAGCTGAGGATGCGCTGAAGACATGTGGTGGAAAGACGCGTCTTGATCTTGAGTTGTGATAGGATTAACACGTTTGTGCGCTTCGCAGTCCACGGTATTCGCAGCATTGCCTCCAGTATCATATTTCGAACGCATCAATTCTCTCCCTTTCTCTGACTGTGCATACTAGGCGTAATTTAGTATTATTTGTTATGCTTCTGTTCCTCCAGATGTTTGTCAGCCTGGTCATCGCATCCTTAGCTATTGCTATTTTGCGTTTAATTTCGGGGACGCATGTGCCCTCATTTGAGATCCGAGATCCTAGGTATATATAATTATCCACAACGTCGATCTCTTGAATGCTGCAAGTGTTGAAAAGTTTATTATCCCGGTCTACAACCATGAGTTTTGCTTTATTCCTATTGATTAACAGACCTAGCTCTTCCCTTTCTAATTCTAGTTTATGCAGCAACTCCTCCATGTCCTCATAAGACGTTACAAGAAGTACAATATCTTCCGCATATCTCAAGTTTGCCACCTTTTTCCCCCAATATTAAATCATTTATCCCACACTTCCAAGGTTTTCCGCATGATGTGCTCCCCATATATGTCAAAGAGCAACGAACACAGTATACAACCTTGTCTCATTGCTTTTCATAGTCATAAACTCATTAGAAAAACTGCCATCGAGTCTCAAATAAGATCGGTTATTATTATACAGATTGGCGATTAGGCTGACATTTCGACCAAAATCGACCATACTTTATCCCAACGGACGCAGTCAAATTCCTTTCTGTAATCGATGAAGCACAGTAAAATTGGATTGTTAAACTCGCGACTCTTCTCAATAATCTGCCTGATATTTAGAATCTGTTCTCTTGTGCCCTGCCCTTTACGAAGCGAGCTTGCTCCTCGGAAATATGCCTGTTTAGGAAATTCTCACCCTACTACCCCTTCTACTTCAATACTACTAAGTCAATATTTATATTTTTAGTTAGTAACAAGAAGGAAAATTAATGGAAAATCAACAAACTTCCATCCCTTAATTCAAAAAGTGGGGGTTGATTTACTAAATATCCTTAAATATGTATTGTATTATTATTATTGATATAAAAGAGTACCAAGGAGTCCCTATATCACTTTTCAGACCTCTAGCATCAATAATTGTGGAGGTCTCATACAAACTTCCATCTCCTAGTTTAAGGGTTTGGAGAGTAAAAGTTCTAAGTTTTAGAATTTTTTGTTGTTTATGTCTAATACTAGCTATATACTAAATTTCAGCTTTCTAGGACTTCATAAAGTTCCCTAAGAATTTTGATGATCATCAGTGAATGAGTAATTGACGAAATCGGGTTTTTTTTAGTTTATCTACTATTGGCATCATATCCTGAGAATTTTGTTTATCCGATATAATCCAAACCTAAGTTATGAGGGTTCAAAAAAAATGAAGAAGCACTTCGAGAAAAGGTAGGTAGTGCTTAGTTCTGGTTTGGTTGGCTTGTCTTGGGCAGGGCACTACCGTCGCCCCAGATAGACAAGAAATAGTACTTTGATGTATGGGGGATGTTGGATAATTTGTGCTAGGTAAATATATTTTTGAGGGTAGGAGGGGAATGAATTAGACGCATTATTTACTGCTCTGTAATAATTGATGTTAAATACATAATATTAATAGTCATACATATAAAATGTATCTGTGATATCCAAACTCCTACTAGTTAAGTCTGATTGTATAATTCAGAGTAACTATAGTCTTTGCGTTATAGCAGGTGCGGGTGACAGCTTACAGTTAGGCGTGTCTAGAGATGGAACAATGTTAAATGTTAAATCGATTTTATAAAGGCGAATAACGATACACAAAGCAAAGCAAAAATTATCGATTAGCTATCGATATAAAATCAAAACCGAAACATATTTTTTTATAAACTAAAATGCATTTAAAATTAAGTTAAAATTTAATACAAATTATGACATAAACATAAACAAATAAAATGGCTGCCAGCATCTGTAATTTTCAGTATGACATTGACTGCACCGGTATTTTTTCAAGGTACGCGTACTAGTATTTTTCTCTATATTAGTGTTACCAGGTCCAATGGGCTAAATATCGGGACGGAAGGTAAAAATTATCGAGAATTTGTTTTTCAAATCTAATGTAATTAATAAAATTACAAAATAGGTTTTTGTAGCCAAGTCTTTTTGATACATTTTTAATCATTCTAATTTCCTGAGCTGACCAACGAATAATTTATCGTCCATGTATTGGAAACACTGCATTTTCGTCTATGTGCATTTTTTTTCTTTAAATCAAAATTTGTTGAATGATTAGTTACAATTTCAATTAATATTTACGTGATTTGTTTATATTCGATTTATTTCAAAATCGATTCTTGATAGTTTGTGGTTATTCGTTATGGCATGGTATAGTTTAGCATACCACATCACTCTCGTAAGTTTGCGATACCCATCCATTAAGTACAACAATATCTGTATGACAGTTTATATAAAAAATACGAAACTTCATACGCGTGAGCTGTAATTCGCACCATGCTACAACGCAAAGACTATAGTGAACATTTTTGCATATTGTTATGGTTGCTCAACATAATCTAAAAGTTGAATGGAGCCCATTAAAAAATCTGTTGCGGACCTAACTGAGCACTTCAACTTGCGGATGGTTGAGTTCCAAAAGGACCTTAAGAGCGCAATTCCAGCTACGAGCCCTAATTCAAATATCAATCATCAGTTCAACACATTTCGTTCCTTTGTTTTAACTGCGCCTGAGAATTTTCAACTACAAGTAGAACTATTGTCCCGTCAGAAAGATAATATGGAAATGAGGCATCGGAAAAAAATTCTGCTGGTGCATGGTGTGAAAGAAAACAAGAAGGAGAACACTTCTGCCTGTGCTGTGAAGGTATTGTCCGACTACTTAAAAATCCCTGGTATTCTATCAGAGTCCATTAGCCGGTCTCACCGTCTGGCTCAAGCTGGCACTGATAGGCCCCTGCTATCCTTGTGAAGTTCCGAGACATTGCGATTAAAGACAAAGTATTTACTGAATTAAAAAAAAATTAATGTTTATGTATGCCATAGCAGGACAATCATAAGATATTTTGTTAACGTTATTTGCGAAATGTTATCGTGTAATTAGAAACATAGATTTTACAACACTATTTATAACTTGACTTTGTTATTGCGTTTCGTTTATGTAATTAAAATGATACCATAGTAGCGCTATTCAACGTAACGTTATTTAGATTAGTTTTATAGCCTTATGCTTCAATTTGGTGATTTAACACTATAAAAAAGAAACATGAAACGTCAAACGTCAAACGTGATTTAATTTTTGACAATGAGTATAATTTTATTATCCATCTACAGCATTTTTGAGAACTTTAAAAATGAGTTTATGTATAAATTTAATTGTAACCATAATAATATAAGGTTACTTACCGATGATACTATATCCCATGTTCCTTTTTAATCTTTGTATCGTACTTTTTGCATCCTTATACCACGCAACTAGGCATATTTATGACCGACAATACTGTGATGTGCTCGCACCACTGTCGACCGAGTCGCGTTGGTCCTCGTACTGGTGCGATTTATTTGTGCGGTCAGCCCGATCCTTACGCTAGTAATACATAAGTCAATGCCTCTCTATTCTCGATTATGCGGGCGCAAGCTATCTTGATTTAACTGAAGATCAACTAAACTAACTTGAGCGTGTCCAAATCTAGCTATTAGGCTCATATTTGATTTGCGCAAATATGACCATGTCTCCGAATTTCGTTTAAAGCTCAAGTGGTTACCCACCCGCCTTCGCCGGAATCTACAAACTGTTTCCCTTCTGTATTGTGTATTATTCAATCCAATGACTCCTAGCTATCTGAAGGAAAAATTTAAGTTTTTTGCTCCTGACAGACCGGATAGAGTTCTACGGTTAGCCGAAGAACTTACACTCGCGCCGTATTATTATCGTACTAATACTTTAAGAATCCCTTTACAGTAAAGGCCATTTGCTTATGGAATGATCTACCTCCGTAAATTTGTCGTGCGAAAACATAAGATAAGTTTAAAACTGACAAAAATCACTACCTAACTATGAAGTAATCACTGGTCATCATTTGCGACATTTCATTTATGTATCCTGTCTATATTTATTTGTGTAAATTTTATGTATATTTTATGTATATGCCTATTTAATAGTATGTATGTCTATCTTTTTTTATAGTATTTATTAGTGTATTAAATATTTCGGTATTATGTATCGGTTTACTTTATTTATGTATCATTACGTAAGAATATTATTACACCATCTCCCACTGTCCAATAGTACAATTTTTTCCGAATCTTAAGGTTGTCTTGAAAACATCGGTATTTTTCGCTTTCGCGATAAGGCCACCTTATTGTACCTACTTCTTAAATATTACTTTCTGTACTGTTTTTTATTTTCTTTTTTTCTTTTTTTATCATTTCGTGGTGTACAATAAAATTTATATAATAATAATAATACTGCTCCCCACCACTACACACAGCTGTGGTGCGGATGGTGTCCTGGCGCACTTTGTGTTCTGGTGAGCCTTACCTGAGAAGGACAATGATGTAAAATAGTTCTCTCCCGATAGGGCTGCAATAAGGTGGCCAGTAGTGGTGGGGCTGCGAATATGTGTGATCCTGTCCCTGCCAATTTGCGGCGAAGATGTAATACCATGGAATTTTAGTCTATGCAAGCCTGATATAACCCGTAGTTGCCCCTGCGATGCGTAGCGTAGTAGCGTGCGTTGCGTAGCCATTTTCCATGTAAAAAATCCCTTCGCCCCACCCCTTCTAAGGGACATCCACTTTGTCAGTTTAGGGTGGCTTAGTAGCCCACCTACGGTGAACTAAAATGAGCCCACGTGGCTGGCCCTAGTTGACTACTCTGGATAGATTTGGCGTGCCCATTTCGGATGAGTGTTGGTAGAATGCGGCGTGAGGAGCGACCTTACTCTCCCTCGCTGCAGCCGCAGTAGAGGTTTAGTCGCGGTGAAGGGGACTGTTGGTATGGTTATGCACCACTCTTCCTATCTTCCGCGAAACTGACCAGGCCGTGCTGTTCAAGATTTAGTGGTGAGGCCACCGTAGGAGAGGAATATCTGGAATATTACGAAGTATGGCGCTCCATGACCTCCGCAGACGAAACTTGGCTGGCGGTGGCGCCATAGATTATATCCGTCGCTGGGTTCTAGTGACATAGTTAAGTGGTAGATTCTCTTACGACACAACCATGTATTAGGTTTCATATTTATTCCGTAAACAAAATCCCCACATTTAGCGGTATTTTTGATAAAATAATGAGAAGAAGAAAAAGGGTGGGAAAGACGTGTCACGATTACCAGATTAGATAACGTTATCCAGTAGACATGGAAACGTACTTTATATAATATTGAAAGAGTTGAAAGAATTAATCATAAACTTACAATAACATTCCACATCAGCGACTGTAGCAGACAACCATAGGTAATGCCTCTGAGCAATGGATTCAGCGATTGATTGCAATCAATTTTTCTTGTATACTGTTTTATGAAGACATCCATAAACATGTAAGTCATGCCCATTGTTATTTCAAAGAAAATAAATTCAGCAAATCTGACTGTAAAAAAGAAATGCCTACTTTAAAAAAGTAAACTTATAGCCTGATACGTCTTACAGCTTGGCACAGTTCTCTTGTTATTTCTGAGAGCGTTCTTCATCTTCATCAGCTTGCAAAGTCATAAACTGGACATAGCCCTCTCTCGTTGCAAGGATGATTTGCCTTAATCGGCACGCTTGGTAGGCGAATTGACGATTGCATTATTAGACTTCTTGCGCCTTTGGTGCAGCTGCCCGTCGCAATTCTGGGTATTTAAGTCACATGTTAACTAGATAATAATACTGTCATATATCGGAAGCCATAATTTTTTTGCACTTCCCATATTTGCCTTTTACGAGACCAACGGTCAGGCTTACGAAACAATAAGTCTGCGCTGCTTTCTAGTGCATGTTTGCAGACTTCATAATATGTCCTCAAAATTTTTTATGTAATAGACATGCAAGTTTCCGTTCGATGATTTTGTTCAATGCCAAGGACGTGGTAAATCAGAACTTGAAATTGAAAATCAACAATTTCGTCGCCGGCGGAGATTGAACTTTCGTTTACCTTACCAACTTCATGTTTTTTGATGTTTGTTACAATCCAAATCCAAATCAAATTTTAATAATATTTCTCGAAATATTTAAACTATATTTTAGTATTTTAAAATAAACGTGAATAATAAAATATGATACTAAAATATATAATACCGCGATCATGTAGCACCTTAGAAAATATATCAAAGTTGTAGCTTGTTGACGAATATGTAAACGCTAGGTAAAAAAATTTCTTTATGCTTTCCCATCTAAAATGTTTTTTAAGGGCGTAATCCTGAAATAATGAGGAGAAAATATTATAACGATCACGACACGGTTATACGAAAATGGAAATTTTTACAAGTTTTTTTTCCCTTAATTCCCCAATGGGCATAAATTTCGAGCTATTAGTCTAGAGCACTGCTCCAGTATGTGTTGAAGGACTTCATAATATGAACTCGAAAATATTTTTTTCCTCAAACATAAAGATTTCCTAAATATATTTTCTTTCACCGCCGAGCACGTGTAAATCAGCAGTCTTAAAATTGCAATGAACATAAAATTGTTCTTAAAGACTTAAACTTGTTTGCATACTGTGAAATTTAGCGAAAGCGATAATCCAATAGGATACCAAGGCTTTATTTGTTCATAATCCAGAAGTGATTATGTGACTTCTTATTCCAAACGAACGAGGCCTGCCGACTTAGAGTTCGTTTGGATTCGAACAGCCCTTTTATCTATTTCTGGCGCCAATAAACAGTGTTTTACAGGGAGGCTCCAGTTTCAAGATTATATAGAGCCAATATATTTACAGACTTTTAAACACTTCATGATTATCCTCAGAGGTGGGAACACATGCTGTAGCTTTTATTATTTGAAATTTTCTATAGGTGTCCGTATAAGCGGTAGTAGCTCATTTATCATTTTATTTTATAATTGTTTAGGTCTTATGACGTATAATTTTTTCATGAGCATGATAATATATTATACATTACATAAATATTGAAAATACAAATTTCAAAAGTTAATCGGCCATTTTAACAGAAACTGTTTGTATTTGTTCTAAAAAAGTACGCTAAACCTGTGACATAATAATATAGCAGAATCCCATTAAATGAGGATAAAGGGTCTAGTACAAAAAAAATACAACTTACACTTTTGTCATGTAAAGACGAGGATGTACTTATTTTTAAATCCACTAAAGTCATATTGCCCAACCGTAATATGGTAATAATAACCTGCAATGTTAAAAAATTGGTGGTTACAGTTAAACAACCTCACAGACTCCAATAGATTGCCACAAATTACGATCCTGAGCCCTCACTATTCATCAACTACCTGAGTTTTTCATCAGGTCGTCACTCCACATAGTGGGGAATCGCCTAACACTACTTTGAGCTTCCTCGTACGGGTAGCAGTGAAAGAAAATTCGACGTAGTTTTCCGAATGCAGCCAAGCCGAATTGGATTCGTCAGTTATCAGTTCTTTGCTATATATATAGATATCTCTATTGGTATATATATATATATATATATATATATATATATATATATATATATATATATATATATATATATATATTATAATTAAACTAAGCTTAATACTTCAATCAAATACAAAACCCTGATTAAAACTGATTTTGGGACTGGGACAAACATGATTCAAACTCGCGGCCTTTAACCCCACCTCAACTACTTACCCACTGGATACGTATCTACTTATCACTTAATTAATTTAATTCAGTTCAATTGTTTATTATTAATTCACAGAAATGCAAGAAATTATTACGTGTCCTTTATCTCTTTCAATTTAGAGTAAATTCATCTTATTCCGGTTTGAATGGGAAAACGAATGAGATTTGAAAACACT